TTTGCAACTTAACAACAGAGATGTACTAATTCCAATTCTAAAGTTATTTTAGTAATGTACTGAAGCTTAAATTCTGAGCACCCCAGTTTGCCGAAGACTATGAATGACAGTGATAACTCCAAATACATTTTCAGAGTGGTCATGAAGATTAAGCCTCCACTAAATCCCTTCTAATTAATAACTGAAACAAAACACAAACGAACGGCCATCGAGTCCGTTCTGACTCATAATGTAGGTCTGGGGAGAACTGACCCTAGGGCTTCTGAGACTTTTCGGAAGTAGAAAGGTTCCTCTTTCTCGGCTAGAGTGGCTGGGGTAGTATTGAACTGCTGACTTTGTGATTGGCAGGCCACCAGGGATGTAGGTAATCTCACCTTCAGCAGAGTGCCTTGCCAAGTGGATTACCTCCACCGCTCTGGAACCAGATCAGGGAGGGGCAGTCCCTGATGGACACCGCTGCGGTTGCATAGTCATTAGCCATGTCTATCAATGGTGTCCTGAACCAATCTCGTCAACTCTTCTATCTAGCATAATGTATGTGTCCCAATCACAGCACTGTTCCCTCTTCTGAAGTCCCACCTCTAACGATGATGTATTGATCTGCCACCAATCATGGATTTGTGACACTGGCCTTTGTCCCATTCCCTGTTTAACTTGTGTCCTGGCTGTGCATCTTCAGACACCATGGTGACCTCATGCTAATGCTCCCTACCACACAGCTCAGCCCGGTGATTGTCTGTGCCTTTGTGCTGTCTTTGTCTCGCTGAAGACGTAAGAAACCATTCCTCTTGGAGCCCTCTGTGTCAATCTGTCTCATGTGGGGTCTTCTAATTTGCTGACCCCCAGCTTTTCCAACAATGTTCTTCTGCAGGGGCTGGTCCCCCCCTGGTGCACGCCGAGTTGATTTCCTGACTGCGGCTTCCATGGGCACTGACGGGCCTCCAAGTCCAAAGAAGCCCATGACAATGTCAGTCTGCTCTCCGGGTGTTGTGATGCTGTGTAATGATCCAGCTGTGGGCATTAAAACGATACGATTCTGTTGAAGTACAATCTACATTGCAGGCTGCAGCCCTTGGTCCTGATCAGGAGTGTTTGTAGTCCTCTTCACGTTTAGCAAGCAAGATGACGTCATCTGCATATTGCAGGTTATTACTGAGACGTCCTCCAATCTCAATGCCACGCTTCTTCTTCAGATAGTCTAGCTTCTCGGATTACCGTCTCAGCGTACAGACTGAATACGTATAGTGAAAGGATACGATCCTGAGGCCACTCTTTCCTAATTTAAAAACACGGAGTATCCCCTACTGGTTCTGGTATCAGCAATCATATCCCTTGTTCAATGTCCTTGACTGAACTTGGCTTAACTTTCTGTCATTTGTGAATGACCTGTCAGCATGAGCCAATGGGAATATGCCAACCAAAGCCACAATGAGAGACCGTCCCACTGTCATTCATGGCAATGCTTTTCTTTGAGGTGTGAGAGAAGGCAGTCGGTGTTCACGAGGCTGTGAAAAAAAGCCCCAGAAATCCTCCAGGACATGGTGGTTAAATGTTCAGCTACGACCCACAAGGTTGGCACTTTGAAACCACCAGCTGCTCCTCAGGAGAAACATGGAGCTTTCTATCCCCATAAACAGTGACAGCCTTGACACTCCCAGGGGCAGTTCTCCCTGTCCTATAGGGTTGCTATGAGTTGGCATCCACTTGATGGTCATCAGTTTGGAAGTTGGTGGGGGAGGGGGAATGTAAAGTACATTCCTTTACTGGAGGGAATGTCATATACAGACACTGGGAAATAGTTTGGTGGTACCTATTATATGACCCCGAGCAGCCCAGTGGGGTAGTGCTTATGCGATGGGCTGTGATCTGCATGGTCATCAGTTTTAAGCCCCCAGCTGCTCCTCAGGAGAAAGACAGAGCTTCCTACTGCAGTAAACTGTTACAGGCTCGGAATCCACCGGGGAACCGCTGTGAGTCCACGTCGGCTCCATGGCAGTGAAGTTAGTTTTTTGAGTATTCTCGACCCAGCAGTTCCCTTACTAGGTACATACCCAAGAACAGACATATACACACTAATGCTCATTGCAACACTATTCAAAGTGTCCCACAGTTGGGAACGACCTAATGTCTATCATTAAAATGAATGAGCAAACACCATGTGGCACACACAGCCCATGAATTATTTCTTGGCCACAAAGTCCTAAAGACATCCCCCCCCGCCAAAAAAAATCATGCTGATCAAAATCAGCCAATTATAAAGCGCAAACTGTAAGATATCAGTGAAAATGACATAAGCAAATGTGCAGAAAACAAAGTTATTACGAGCTCCCAGGAGTGAGAGAAGTAAAAAAGAGGGAGTTTGTCCATAGGCTCCATTGAGTTTGTGGGAATGGTGGAGGAATAATTTGGAAGAGGATGACCAGGATTATTGCACAGCCTAAAGAGTATAATAATCTAATTGAAATTAAACAGGTAGAAATTGTTAGGGACCAAATGTTAAGACAGCTCATAAAGGGCCTGGCTCAGCACAGAAGTACAATATTAGCTACACCTTCAGAAATACTTCAAGGGAACACCCTTCAAGAAGATGCATTGACAATGACATGGGTGCTGAAAACGTAAGTTGTGCAGAAGTAGTCATTTCTTTAGGCGATACTAGAGCTCAAGAAGCAGGTGTGCGAAGGGTGGGAGGAGTGATGTGGCATGAGTGTGAGTCTGTACCGCAGGCATGGCACTCAAAGAAAGAGTATCCACTGAACTATTGGGTATCCAGATGCTGGTACCCAAGAAGGGAACACAGACATGGAAACACCGGAGGATTGACAATGGTTTCCATACTGAGGAGGGGAACACCGGAGGATTGACAATGGTTTTCATACTGAGGGGGGAACACAGACGGGGAAACACTGGAGGATTGACAATGGTTTCCATACTGAGGGCGGAGCCACTGATTCACTACCAGCCGAGGTGGTTTTACATTTCTGCTTTGCTTTGTTTAAGAATTCACATACGACAGACATTCTAAAGATAATTATACCAGCCACATCTCAATTTCTACCAACCGAAGAAAGCTGATGGTGCCTAGCTATCAAAGATAAAGTGTCTGGGGTCTTAAAAGCTAGAAGGTAAACAAGTGGCCATCTAGCT